CATCCAATGTGGAAAAAGTCACTAACAGGGCTTAACAATAAAAAAAATATTAATTTAGGCAAATCAGCATACAGTCAATGTTTCAGTCCCGTTATCAGACTTTTATCAAGATGTATAGATAAGCTGTAGTTTGTGTCTGCTTAAAATAAAACATTTTTTTTTATCCTATTATACTTAATATATATATTGTATGATTATGTGTGCTCATTTGTTTTTGCTTCATAAATTGTACAATATTAAGCCAGGATTTATTTTAAACCTATTTGGGAACATGAAACACTTTAAATATATATATATCTTTTTTAAAGAACATGGTCTATTGTTCAGACTTCCTGCCCCTTCTTCACGTGAATATATGGGTGGGCTTTATGAGTGAGTGGTGGAAACTTAAACACAATACATAGATAAGGAGTGAATTAGTCAGTGGAAAGATCTTCCCCTCATATTGGGAAGAGGATATTGAAAAACTCCCACCCACTATAAGTTAAAACACAAACTTATGTTACCTTGAGAAATTGAAGAAAAAAAGTAATAACTGATTTAAAATTTCACGTAGTACATATACTACTCATTTTTCTTCTCTTTGCCCTTGCCCCTGGTTCTGCTTGAGTTTGTCAATTTCCCAGCAACCTGTCCCATCAAAGTTCCTCTCTCCTAACGTCCCTTCTCTGTTTTATTTCCCCTTACTAAACATTGTCTATTTTAATTCCACTCTTCCCCAATCTATTTCAGTTACCCCATTCCCATTCAGACTTGTTTTGGTTTGCTACACACTTTTTTACATTTTAGTTCCTCTCTCAACCTACTTCCCCATTTCAGATATCCAATCTTTGTCCCATTTCATTTCTTCCTCCTCCACATGTGTGCCCCATGTAAGATAATCTGCTATTCAAAATGTCAGACCTGATAAAATCCCATATTTTCCCCAAAACATGTTATTAGGTTTTAGGAAAAGTTGATAAAGATTGGTGGGCACTGGCTTACATAACCAAACACCTTATTTAAAAATGTCATGTTATGTTTATATTAAAATAATAAAAAGTAAATAACAGGGTTAGATAGAACTACATAAGGTAGAGTTGGGTAAAATATGAATAATAACCCTGATTCGAGAAAACTAAAGAAGAAAAGTGGCCAGGTCAAATCACTAGCAAAACTGGTCCAACCCTCCACCATCCAAGTTAAATTAGTATATTAAAATATTTGGTAAATACGAATTCTATTATAGGCATCGAAAGGTCAAACAAAGGACTCCCAAGATTAAAAGAATTGAGAAACCTAGTGCCCTTAATGTTGGTTTTCTACCCACTTCAATTTAAAAACAAAAATGCAAATTTTTTTTGACAGAACAACAGGTTCAATTTATCACAAGAAATCAAAGCGCGTAGGATGGTCTTTCTGGCAGCTATCTGCACCATTAGAATTAACTTTTGTGGCTATATCATGTAAAATACAAAATATGGACAGCTCCGGGGAAGTGTAGGCTGGTCTCCAGATATATTTGTATCTCCCCCCAAAACTCCTGTTTTTGAGGGCATCTAGAAATCCAATTACATAGGTAGCATTAGCTTCTTTCCTGCATTTCAAACAATGTGAAGAATTTGTTAATCCAGTCGGGAGTCAGTGTTGGGAGTCAGCTGCCAGGTTGACTTGTAGTGCTATCCACCAAAGCATTTCTTGGTATAAAGGCATCAGAAAATGTTTTAGTAGTTTGTTTGTTGCAGCGAGAGTGTCATCAGTGAAGTGGGAAGGCAAAGATAATGTCCATTTATTTATGGGTAGTTACAAGAGAATGGTCCAGATCTGTACTAATACTACTGTAAAGCTTGGTAGGCAAAAAGAGGTATCTGAATTCATGGGAACTTGTCCCAAAATTGAAGTAAAGTTAGTATTTTTTGGCGGTAACAATTAAAGGACCACTATATTGCCAGGAAAACATACTAATTTTTCTGGCACTATAGTGCCCTGAGGGTGCCCCCACCCTCAGGGTCCCACTCCCACCGAGCTGAATGGAGAGGATGGGGTTAATCCCTTACCTTTTTTCCATCGCCGGGCTCCCTCAGCGCTGGGGACTCTCCTCCTCCTTCGGTCGTCATTGGCTGAATGCGCATGCACTGCACGAGCCGCGCGCACATTCAGCCAGTCCATAGGAAAGCATTTTCAATGCTTTCCTATGGACGCCGGTGTCTTCTCACTGTGAAAATCACAGTGAGAAGCGCGGAAGCGCCTCTAGCGGCTGTCAATGAGACAGCCACTAGAGGCTGGATTAACCCAT